ACACAGATAACACACACACAGATAACACACACACAGATAACACACACACAGATAACACACACACAGATAACACACACTACGTCTTAGACAGGGGTCTCAAACTGGAACTACCCGCGTGCCGCCTGAGGTAACGTTTGGGTGTGTCTGGTCCGCATCAAATATTCCACACTTACACAGAAAAAGGTTTCAATCATTTAACAACCTCAGTGCTTTCTTGTCGTATCTCCAATTTTTAAAACAGTGAAAATGCGACTTCTTCTTAAGCTCATTCTTTGTAATGAATTGTTTTCACTGTTATTAAAAATGGAGATACCACAAGAAAGCACTGAGGTCGTCATTTGTTAAAGTACAACTGATTTACTCATCTATTACTTTCAATCATCGTCACTACTATGCAATAGCAGTTCCTAGAACATGAAAGCTGTCATTAGCCTGATCGAGATATGGTGGTCATAAGATCTACATAGAAATCGAGGCAAAAAGGTGCGTGTGAGAAAAACGCGAGCCGCACCCACACTCAACGTTGATGTCAAGTAGAAGTAAGGATCGCAAAATATAACCCGGAGGGTCTCGACTAGCCCGTTGGCAGCGAGTCTGAAAGCTCTCACTGTCCGCAGTATCTATTCGGAGACGGCTCTTATGGTAATAGACCAATCAAAATAATTTGTGCCTTTAGAACAAGTAAAAAAAAATCTGGGGGGTTAAAAGGAGGTACGCCCCCCTGTTTTAACCCATAATTTGATATTTTGCAGTTAAGTTCGACATTTTCCTGAAAATAATTGGTTTGCGAATGTTTTAGTGGCTATATTATGTGTGATCTGCAGCAAATAATACGCAATTTGACCCCCCAAAGCAGTGCATCTGTGCGCGGGAGTGCGTCTCCAAATAGTTCCTGGGTGCTCGCCGGAGACGTCTCCGAATATCTTCTGCCCTCGCTGTCGGAGAACTTGGCTGGACTCAAAGACATCACGGAGTACGAGTGTCTATTTTTACACTGCAAGGTCTTTAATTTCTCGCTTGTCTCGCGTGTGTGCGTGAGTTGTAAAGGTTAGAGTAAGCTTTCAGCACTGTCTAGACATGTACTTACACATTGAAACAAACAGAGACATCAGCATACCTTATTTGTGGATTTTATCAAATTTTCGAAAGACAGATTTAATAGGCTGGCATTCG